CCCCAAAACCCCAAAACCCCAAAACCCCAAAACCCCTTCATGAGATTTTGTAATTGAAATATTATATTTATTTGAGTAAACCGTCCACATCGACATCATCTCCCCAGTCATCATCATTGTCATCCTTTTGCTGGATGTATCTTTTTTCTGGCTGTTGCATTGGGATTTGTTGTTGTTGTTGATTGTAAGTATCAGATCCTCCTCCAGCACCACCATATCCTGGCTGGCCTCCAGGATTATTGTACTGTGCCATGTTATTCTCGAGCTCTCCTCCCTGAGTTGGCATCATTCCTCCAGGATTGTTCATGTCCTGAGTTCTCTCAAGTTTACCCAATTTCTTAGAATATTCGTAGTATTCCTTCTTGCCGAGATCTTTGCTGATTGCAACAAGGTATCGCAATCATTCGATATTCTCAGGGTTGGTATCATGAACAGACTCGTAATGCTCCAGCGCCTGTTGGAAGAGGTTCATCCTTCTGTAACATGATGCAACCATGAGCTTCCATTTGACTTCTTTTGGCTCGATAAGAGTTGCTTTGTTGAACAACTCAATTGCCTTCTCATAATTCTCTTGCTTAACATGGTGAATAGCCAACCATGAAAGAGTGTCAATTTTCGAAGGATTATATCTATAACTTTCTTGGTAGTAGTGTAAGGCTTGGTACTCATCTCCTTCTAGCTGATAAAGGAAGCCCATCTTGGACAGAATCTCAGAGTCGGTTGGAACTTTGGTGATTAGAATCAAATACCACTTCAAAGCTTGTCTTCTGAGTCCAATCAACTCATTGATGTGACCGAGTTGATAAATAACTTCTTCACTGTTAGGAACGATAGAATGCAGCTTTTCAAAAGCTTGTAATGCTTCGTTATAGTATCCAAGGGTCTTATAGACCAGTCCAAGGTTATAAATAGCCTCTACACAATCAGCTTCAACACCAATGGCCTCTAGGAAGAACTCCTTGGCTTTGTCATATTCTTCATCAGTGAAAAGACAGTTTCCCTTATTGACCAGAGCTTTAGAATTATATCTGTCGTTCTGGATAGCCATATCTGAGAATTTTTCTGCATTGGAGAAATCATTCTCCAAGAAATAAAGGAAAGAAATGTTGTTGGCAGCTCTTGCCATCATGATCTTATCCTTTTTCTCGAAGCTTTTGAATAGCTCGATAGCTTTTTCAATATCTTTGTTCTTAATGAAATAGACAGCTTTAGCGATTTCAATCTCACTCTCGACTTCTTGAAGGTTGGCAGTTCTGAGCATTTCAACTACCCAGTCGTAACCTTGGACGACTTCCTCCTCAATTACTGGTGCGATGAGTTTAGCAGCATTGGTAATGTACTTGACAGCTTCCTTCTTTTTCTCCTTCAAGTATTCTTTGAGTGGATCCTTGATATCAGGAGCATCTTCATCCTTATTCTTGTTCTGAAGAGCTAGGATCTCTTCAGTCTCTTCTTCTTCACTCCCAGGAAGGTCTATCATCAGCATTCTCTCGAACCAGCTCTTCATCTTAGTGGCGTCTCCAAGAGCGTAGATACAAACGATGAGATTGAATGCGACACTAAAATCAGCAGTGTCGTTCATTATATCTTCATAGGTCTCTATGGCTCTGCCATAAGCACCTAGCTTAAGATAACAGAGACCAATGTTCTTCTTGATCTCCATTCTCATCTCCTTGTTCTGAGGCATGGCTGAATCCCAAGCCATGTTGTACATCTTGATGGCCAATGGATATTTCTTTTGCTCAAAGTAAATATTTCCCATGTTGACTCTCAGACGAGATGCTTGAGGATACTGTTTGTTCTTCACAATGATAGTGTAACTATTCAAAGCTTCTTGGTACATCTGGTTAGCATGATACATATTGGCTAAGTTATAGAACACATAGAAGGTCAGATCGATGTTCACCTGGTCTAGATTTCCGGTGGATTCTCGGATTTGCCTGATTTTCTTCTCCTTGTTAGCAGCTTCCTTAGCCTTAGCGAGTGCATCAGTAAAGTTCTTCTTGATCTTAGCTTCAGCACTTTGTTCTAGTAAAGTGTGAACCTCAACCTCGAGCTCTTTGAAGTTTTCTTCTTCAGATTTATCCTTGTTCTTTTCAAGTGCTTGAGCTGGTCCTAAAAGTTAAATTTGAATCTGTACCTTTTCCTTCAAGAGGGTCGAATTTCTCTTTTGATTTAAATCCAGCACCCTTGGCAGATTTCATAGCAGTACCGAGTCTCTGAGCTCCTGTTCCAAGTCTCATGGCGGTACCCATGGCTGTCTGTTTCTGCCTACTTATCACATTTCTATTGTTGTATGAGGATGGGGGAGGTTTAGCCTAAAATCAAATCAGCATTGCAACTCGTGCAAAGAAAAATAGCCAATATGAGTCAAGCTCTTACCTCAACCCCTTTGAAATCATAGGGATTATTAGTATCCCTGGAGTCAGCAGCATTATTTTTGCCGTATTCCATCTTAAATTTTAAATTATGAGATTTTTCGAAAATTCTATTTTTAAATTCTTGAAAGGGGTTTTGGGGTTTTGGGGTTTTGGGGTTTTGGGG